CCGCGCGGGTGCCATGTTGGCAGCGCGCCGCTGCCTGCCCGCGTCCCTGCAGCCGCTGCCCCGGGACGGGCCCGGCCCTGCCAGCCCGCTCGGCCTGGTTCCGACACAGCCCAGGGCGAGCGGCAGCCAGAGCGGCGCCTCCCGCCTTGTGCCGCTGCCGCCCGCATCCTGGTGTGGCCCCTGTAGCGGTGGCGGGTGAGGGATGGCTGCGGGTGGTCCAGCAGGCTGGGAAGGCCGGGAAGATGAGGTGGGACTTCTTGGCCATGCCTGGTCCTGCCTGTCCGCCCCTCTGAGACCCGGCTCCCTCGGGTGCTGGCTGGGCAGATCCCCAGTGACCAGCTGGTCGGTCCAGCAGGCTGGGAAGGCCGGGAAGCTGAGGTGGGACTTCTTGGCCGTGCCTGGTCCTGCCTGTCCGCCCCTCAGAGACCCGGCTCCCTCGGGTGCTGGCTGGGCAGATCCCCAGTGACCAGCTGGTTTTCCCGCAAGTGGAGCCAGCTCATCCCTGGCCACTCCAGACCCCGGCTTGGTCACTCAGGAAGAAGGCAGCCTCGGAAACACCAGGCAAACCCAGAACGGCTGCTTTGTGGTGTGTTGGGATAAATGAGAATGGTTTTGGACATCAGGAGGGATTTCTGCACTGAACGGGTTGTCAGACATTGGAACAGGCTGCCCAGGGCGGTGGTGAAGTCACCATCCCTGGCAGTGTTCAGGAAAAGATGTGGAACACAGTGTCATGGTCTAGTTGACAGAGTGGTATTTCATCACAGGTTGGACTCAGAGGTCTTTTCCAACCTAATTGATTCTGTGATTGTCTTATTCAGATTGTCCTCGGGGCTTCCTACTCAAATGCTAGCGTTGTGTTAAAGCTGCTGAGGAAAAGCTGGCTGTGTGATCTACCTGGGAATGCACCTTCGTGCATGCCAGCCAGTTCAGTGCAGGAAACTAATCATGATGTTACGTATGCATGACAACACTTGTTCTGACCAAGAAAGCTTTCTATGAAACGCTGCAATCTTGTACTAAAAAAAAAAAAAAAGAAAAAAGAAGCAAACACACTGAAGTGCATCCACCTTCAGGGCAGGACATGGCTGCTACATGACAGAGAGCAGCAGTGCTATTTGCTGGCAAAAAAAAAGGAAGGCTGGGCAACAGCACCGCTTAGTAGGCATACAGACTGAATTTTCATTTTGACTAAATATCCTCTGCTGACTGAAATTTTGCTGGAATGGCGGGAGTGCAGATGTGTGCCACAAAACAGTGATAATACTGATACCTAATTAGTGTGTTTCATTTTTCTTTCAAACACTCCCCCCTTCCTTCATTTTTGCTGTGGTAGATGACATGTGTTGGTAACAGCATCACTCTCATTTTATGTCTGGAGAAAAATGAGGGACAGCTGTACTCTTTTCTGCTTCCCAATGTGGTACTTGACTCTGTGCAACAGAGTCTATGCTTCTGAACCCAAAGGTGCCAGAACTCCCATCTCCAAGCTGAGACACTGTGGGATAACTGCTTTCCAAGCAGAAGCAGCTAGTCAGAAGGCAGTAAAGAAGCTGAGTGGGACCCAGCCAGCAGCCCTGGGGAAGCACAGCATCAGGGGGAAGGAGAAAATGAAAAAGTGGGAGAATGTTATTTTTTCCCCTCTTAGAGAGAAGACTTGATTAGTGAGTATAAATACAATCCAAAAATGCATAGAGGTTTGAAGAAACCCATCTGTTATGGTTTACAATGGGCTGAAATAGCCATTAGTTCAACAGAAAGCATTTTCTCCTTCACAAAGGTGAGTATTGATTCAGGGGAGGACTGTCAATTCTCACATACACTTCTCCACAGAGAGACAAACATGCACCGTTTTGCAGGCAGATGACTGTGACCTTTGTTGTCACATCTTTTGGGAAGACAGAAAAGGGGAACTGGTTCCTCCCTCTCAAGCAAGCCACCGTTCCCACCATTGCAAGCAGCAGTTTTCAATTCATGTATTACTCCTTCTGGCACTCCTAAATCCATCAGGCTGATAACCTCATTATGCCTGTTATGTGGTCTTGTGTCTCCCGGTTCTGCCCTCAGCTGACACCTTTTCTTCATCCATCCCTGTTATGTCTTCATTTCCTATGTAATGTCATTCATGTCATCTACATGCTAATGCAAGAAAGAAAAACTTCCTTTTTCTCTGCAAATTTATGGCATTTTTCTTCTTGAAACATGAAGATCAGATCTGGAAGTTTTTCACATGCAATGTCATTGGCTTCTGTGTTTTAGAATATTCATGGACATGAGTACGAACTTGAGCTACTCCATATCAAGCAGCTGCTACTGTCAACCTGCATATCTAAGCTGGAAATCAAAAGTTTTTAGCTTTGAGAGCAGTCATATTATGGAACACATCTCCTGCCAGAAAGGTGGGAGGAAAAGGATGAAATAGTTTTTAGTAGGCTCTGGGATGGGATGGTCTAACAGAAAGCCTGTAAGAGGAAGGTGCAGGATGTGATGACATGCAGGTGGGCACCAAATAACATATCCAGTAATGAGGCTGGATACAGTCCTGGTGAGACCCTGCTCATTGTCCCTGGTTATGCTGTCCCTACTGCATCCTTGCAGCCAAATGAGTGACAAAGTGGTGTTAGAAACTAAAAATATGCAACTGTCAACCTTAAAGGAACATTGAGGAGACACTGCACTACGTGTCCAGAGGCAGGATCAGATACACTGATGCCACCCAAGCTGTTTTTTCCGTACCTGCATAACACAGCTGGAATGCTGGCACCTCCTCAGCACCTGTTACCCTGCTCATTGACTGGCAGCAGGGAAGGTTTGTCTCCTCCCTGTAACCTAATTGAGCTTGTTGCACGTTGACCTATTCTCAGCACACATGGGGAGCAATTGATCAGCATCTTCTAACAACCTTATGTATTTGAGGTTCATTATCATATGCCCTCTTCTGTTTTCTTCCTGTTAGACTCAGTCCTCTTCTTTCAATTCTATGCATTTTGCACCTCTTATACTGTTTTTACCTTTCTCCCATCCAGATCTAGACTAATCCAATCTAACTTGGATGTATTGAGAAAGCAAAAATTATCCCATTTGTCTTATAGGCAGTATGCCCTACTAATGCAGCCTGCTAAGAAGGAAATTTGTCTTTTAATACAATACTTTCACAATGGCAATTCATATTTGGTTCACAGCCCTGTAACTCCTCAGTGTTTCCTCAGTGCTGAAATGGAGGTAGGTGTTACCCATTTCTTTCTTGGTGTATTTAATTTCTTCCCCTTCTCAGCTCAGTATTTTGCATCAGTTTTATGAAATTTTAGCCAGCTGAATGTGAGCCATTTCTCCATTTTGTCAAAATATTTTTTTCCCTATTTTGCCTTCTGTCTTGCATGATCTTCCAGAGGCCAACTATGCGTTTTATAAACATACTTTATTTGATTATCCAAATCCCTGGGGAAAACAGTTGATAGATTTGTTCTTTGTAAGTCCTCCTGATCTGATGACAAAGTACTGGTAACTAGTTTCAGAGTGTATACACACCAGGATAGTCTGCATTGCTCTTGCTACTATTTCAGTTACTGTGACAAAGAAACATACCTGTGACAAATATTGTTTCAAAAAGCCTTACTGCACACCAGGATAGTCTGCATTGCTGGGCTTGCTCTCGCTACTATTTCAGTTACTGTGACAAAGAAAGCTAAACAGTTTACATTATTTGTTCTTGGCTTTTTCTCTGCTGGCTTTTTTGTATTACCTGATTATCTTTAAGTGATAACAAATTGATTATTTAATATTTTTTCCCACACTTATTGAGGAGATGGGAAAGTAATGACTGAAGAATCAAAGTTTTCAGGAAGGTTTAGGAACACTTGCTGATTTTTATCAGGGCAGTGCTGACTTTGAGGGTAATTTAATAGAACAGACATTAAGTCTTCACTAGTAATTAAGTGTTTACTAGTAAATTAAGCAACATCAGGAAACGTTCCTAGAATACAAACTCAATCATCAGATTTCAGTGTCAGCATACCCCTGGCATGCTTTTGTTTGGTCCCACTAGGACTGTCTCAGGCAATTTCCAGGCATGATTTGGGAGTTATAGGTAGAGGACCATTCCCAGTGGGCTGTTCAACGAGGTCATGGTTTCAGAGGTGAAGAGAGTTTAATAATATGGATGTGAGCCATTTGGTGCTAGTTTACAAGATGTATCTAGGACAATGTTCCTGGGCACTCCTGATTTACTACCTTCCTACCTCTTTTTGCATTCTCCATCTGCAAGATTCACTGTGCTTTGTAAGGACAAATGAATCAGTCCTCTGACAAGTCTGAGAGGAAGCTGAGGCCAGATGTCTCACTTTATTGATGTGAGGCAGTATCTGACCCAATCTTCGCAGCAATGAAGTAGCTGGGCTAGCACTGAATCAGGGGCCTGACCTCTCACAGCCTCTGGCTGTACCATGGGGAGCAGCCCTTTGTGTCCCAAGCACATCCTTCCCCAGCTTCTTAGGCAATGTCTCAACAGACCATGAGACAGGAGGGGACCTTCCAGGAACCTTCTGAGGACAGGTGTCCCCCAGCATAGTGCGTGTCCAGCTCCAGCCCAATGCTGTGTCTCCTCTCCCCTCCCAGCCCTGCTGTACCGCATGCAGCTGGCTGCTGGGAGCACAGAAGGAAGGAGATCACTGTGCTGTGTTGATGCAGAAGCCTCTCTGCAGAGAAAAACAGAGGTGAGAGCAGGCAGGGTGAGCTGGCCTCTGTCTGTATATTTGCACCTGTGAAGTGTTGGAGGGAAGCATCTTGATGCTGAAGGCAGCCAGGAATGGGGGATCCCTGGGATATGATGACTCCTAACACATTGGAAAAAGTAGAAGATTTCTCTGGGGACAAGGTTG